AGGGACTTTTTACATGGACATGGAGTAATAGGACAAGGGGGAATGGTTGTAAACTGAAGGAGGAGAGATTTAAATTGGGTATTAGGAAGAAATTCTTCCTTGTGAGGGTGGGGAGGCCCTGGCACAGGTTCCCAGAGAAGTTGTGGCTGCTCCATCCCTGGAAGTGTCCAAGGCCAAGTTGGACAGAGCTTGGAGGAATCTGGGATAGTGGAAAGTGACAGGGGGCTGAACTAGAAGATCTTTAAGATCCTTTCCTACCCAAACCTCTCTATGATAACTTACTGTAGTGTGCTCTCTGGAACATTTTGTTTATAAAAAGTCATTTCTGAGAAGAGGATTTGTTTTAAGATCTCAGTGGCTTCTTTAGAGGGTTGTCATGGATGTTAACAGCAGGACTCGGGCAGGTTCTAAACCTCTTGTTCTCAGTACACGTCGTGCTAGAGTGAACAGGATGGCTCAGGAGATTTTTCTCCAGAAGCAGCTGTCAAGTGCAGCTGCCCTGGCTGGGTCACTGACTGAAGGAATCCTCCACTGAGCACGATGGCTTTTAAACACAGATCTGATCTCTTTTCCCAGCAGCAGATGTGGTGAGAAAGGTTCTTAAGCAGTTTTGGGGTGTCATGCCCAAAACTGGGGAGAAGAAGCCTCAGCTGATGGGTACTGATACAGAATTGCTTGTTGGGTTCCATGGGTTGTAGTTCCCTGGGTACAGGCTGGCTCCTTCCCTGAGCTCTGCTGGTCTGTGCATGTCACCTCCAGCTTAGCAGCCTGGTCAGGAGAGGTTTTATTCTCCTCATCTTGGCTCATGAACTTTGTCCCTTGAGCTGTCTGGGGAGACACACCTGCAAACCTGGCCTGGTTACACACGTGTCTGCAGAACGTTCATCCCAGCTGCATGCTCATAAACATGGAATCACAGAATCATTTAGGCTGGAAAAGAACTTTAAACATCACAGAGTGCAACATTAACCCAGAACTGCCAAGTCCATGACTAAATCATGTCCTTAAGTGCTACATCTACAAAGATGCACAGTCTTAAATTGCTATTTTTTTACTTCCCTTGCATGGTATATCCTTTGGGTAACCTGGGTGGAAAATGCCATGAGGGCAGGGTCTTCTGTGTCCGAAGTGGCACCAAAATTTAGCTGTTTTTCTGTGTATCCCAGAGTATGCATCCAAGTTCCAGGGCAATTCTAAGTACAGCAGGTTGAATGTTCTGTAGTGTTTAGAGAAAACTTTAAGGATGAGGTTGGGATGTTCAGAGCAAACCTGTAATATTTCAACCACTCTCCCTTTGCCTTTGAATCCCTCTTTGCCAAGCCTGCAGGCTGCCTGAGCTATCAGCACACATCCACTTGTGTTCTCACCATTAAAACAATCTCATTTGCTTTGCTGTTGTTTTTTGCACTACCCCAGCGCTGGCCTCTGAAACCTTTTGAAAATAACATTTACAATAATATTTTTAACAGTTCCGTAGTATACAAAACTCCAGTGCTCTGGCAGGACTCCCGGAAACTTGCTGAAAGTTAATGTGGTCAACTCTTAAAAAGGAGAGATTTTTTCCGCCTGACTCTTGCTTGTTAAACTCTCTGAGCCCAACATGTTCCCTGCTGCTTGAAAAAACAAGGAAAGTCCCAATTTTAGCAATGCTAGTTTGAGTAGCTTTCCAGCCGAGCCCTATTTCAGGGGCAACTGTGGCTTATTATTGTTTTTTTTTACAGTGGTGTGTCCCCTGCACATCCAAACCAAAGCTAAGTGGTGCTCAGGCAGGAATAAGCTTTCCCTGGAAGCCTGGGGATGATAAACTGCAGAGGGAGATGCTATTTGCTTGTGCTGCAGTAGTGGCAAGACATGCTGACATGAAGTCTGTGTTTTGTGGTGGAAGCTGAGCCTCTGTGGGGTAAGAACAACTCTTTTTGGGGTAGGTGATGCTGTAAATCCCATTTATCAATAGCAGACTGCAGGTGACTCCAGCTCTCACTGCTGGACTGCACTCTTCCTGCTTTCCTAACCTTCATCCTACATAATTCCTCACAGTAAATCTCCTGGTCACTGTGCTTTATCTCCCCTTACACCCAGGAGAAAATCACACTTCTCCATCCTCTCCTCCCCTGCTGTAACTTAGTTCCATAGAGGCAGGAGTCATGGATGCACTGGCATGTCACAGCTGAACTGTTGTCTCCCCTGAGCTCAGTCTTGCTTAATCCCTTCCCAGCCAGGAGTATGGGAAGAAAAAGAGAAAAGCAGGGATTAATTTTCAAAGTGGCTGAATAACCTTGCATCCATCTCTCAGGTAGATACTCATACTCTGCACTCATGGAGCCATAATGAATTTGAACCACTCTGTCTGCAAAGTTCAGGCAAATCAAAACTGATAAACAATCAATTATTAGATTATTATGATGATAATTCAATCATTGCTATATTATTATTATTATATTAATTATTATAATATTAATTCAATTATTACAATATTATTATTGTTTTCCCCTGGATCAGAGCATCTGTACTGGGCTTTCCTGCAGGTGAAGTAACTTCCAGCAGTTTTCTGAGCAGACTGGAGCAGACAGAGTCTGTTGCATGCACAATACAAACCTGGAACACATTGCCCCAGCACTCCTGGGAGCCAACACCTTGCTGAGCTCCCTCACTGCTTACCAGGGAGATTTTTAATAGATTTACAGAGCTCTGTGGGCTGTGGGAGTGGTGCAGTGCCAGTGGGAGCCCAGTTTCAGATGCTCACTGGTTTTGTGTCCCAAACTGCCAGCACTGATCAGGGAGCTTAGGGGGAAGAGAAGCTGCTTCAAACAGCATCTGTAGGAAAAGGATTTTTCCCTTTTAGTGCCCTCTTATTTTTTCCCCTTCCCTGTTTTTTAAGGGACATAATAATAGGACAGAACTTGTACTAGAAACAGGAATTTGTCCTTCTCTAGCAGGAAGCTGCTGGTATGTATTTTTGGGAAGCCACGGAAATGGCCAATGTTTGTAATCCAGTTTGAAGGCTGGCTGTCCTCAGCATTGGAGAGATCTGCTCCAACAGAAAACCTTTATTTGTCTTGTGTATCTGTGGAGATTTCCTGCCTGTGTGCAGGGGCTGGTTTGCTCACGAGGGCTGGGCTGGGGGGTCTCAGGGGTTTGCTGTGGCAGAGGTGATGGAGAACAGCACAGGGGAGGGCTCTGCTGATGGAAATGTCACCTGTTTTTTCCAGGGCTCTTTTACACAGTTCCTGTAGGTGCTTGTTTTTGTGACTAGATATGGTTTGGAAAGGTCTGGAAGGTCTCCAGAAAGACATTAGAAAAATCTGTTACTCTGATAGGAGAGCTAACCTGGGCTGTCCCAGGAATTTACAGTTGATCCAGGCTATCTGCCTGTGGCCCTCAGTGCAATTGAGGCACACAGCTTAATTCCTGGAAGTGTCACAGCAGTTTTGAAAGCAAAAGTGAAGGTTTGGGCTGTTTCCTGCTCTTGTTATAATCAGATGGAATTTTTACTCTGCTTTCTTGCTGGTTTTCTGCTCCCTCTTGATTCAGTGCTGCATAGACTGACCAGTTTGTTCTCAAGGGAGGATTTTTAACCATTCAAGCTGTTTGGTAACTTCCTTGCCTCGTCCTTGGTGTTGGAAATGGACGAAGCAGAGTTCCTGGTGGCCCTGGGCTCCCAGGCTGATGGTGCTGTTCTGGGAAGGAGCTGCAGGAGAAGGAACAAGGCTCTCAGGGGCACTTGGATATCTCTGCCTCTGCTGCTCTCTTATCACCTTCCCTTCCTGCTCGTCTCTCTCAAAATAGGTTGGATAAATATCCCTGTACTCCCAGCACCGAGGCACCAGAGCTGCAGAAAATCATTTTAATCCATGCTTGGGACCATTCCTGGTCTTCTTCAGATTCAAATCTTCAGATTTGTTGCTGTGTTTGAACTGATTTGACCAAGCCAGGAGGTTTTTAAAGTGTCTTTTCCTACCACTTCTGACCAGTTGCTCATATTTAACACTCCAGGATCCATCTCAGTGTCCTGGAGCACGTGGCTCTCATTGACTCCAGGGCAACCTGCAGTGACTGCAGGACAGGAATGTCTTACTCCCTGTGCAAGTCTGATCAAGTTCTTGAGGCGTTTCTCCCTTTTCTTGTGCTGTCACACAGGTTTATGACCAAGAAATCTGAGGGCTTATCAGGCACTTAAAGTGGAATTTGATGTTGTGTTCTATCACCTTCAAAAGGTGCCCATCTTTAGGTGGATTTTTGCCTTTGTTCAGTCTAAAATGAGGCTTTTCATTAGTGAGCAGGAAAGGCTGCAGCAGGCTCAGGACTGCTTTCATTTCTTGGTGGCCAAAAAACCCCAAAAAACCTTACTGGGTGCAGGAGTTTGGCTGAATGCAGGATGGCAGGTCACTGAGCCCACTGCTGTGCTGGTGTTGAGGGCAGATTGAAGGCAGAAACTCTGGGAGGGCTCCTAGGGACATCCCGCCCCTGAGGGATGTACAGGCTGATGCCACTGCTGCTGAGAGCTGCCTGCACTCAGCTTTTTCCCCATGCAGTCAGAGGAAAGCTGGTCTAGCCTTGGGGAACCTTGGCTGCCATTTGGAAGGCCTAAATTTAGGTTTCTGCTTTGATTCAGGACTGCTTTTCCATGTCCTGCTGTCAGTCTGTTCCCCAAGTGAGTGTTACCCCACAGGGATGCTGTGGAATCTGAAGTGTTAAAGATGGTATTGCTTTAGGGTTACATTAATCACGTAAAAACACATTAAAAAATATCATGTAATTAAAATGTTCTGCTCTTAAGGAAGTGCAAGTTGGTCACGCCAAGATTTTAAAACCATTAAGGTCCCAGGTTTGTGGGGTGTTACCTTTGGTGTGTGCAGAGGAAGGCAGACTCCTGCTCTCCATTCCTAAATAAGGCTCTCCTCTTTCCCAGGTGATGGTGGGCAGAGGCTTTGTGAAAAGTGGTCCATGACCCTGTTGTCATGTCAAAATTAATCTGTAATCTCTGTGTATGTTTGTTGCAGGGTGGATGCTTGAGAGAGGAGGATAAGGCACAAGAGTTTGGGACCGGTGGAATGGAGGCCTGATGTAGATGGAAAGATGGGTAAGAACTGGATTCCCCTGGAGAATGAATTTTCTGCAGCCTGATAATTTTGGTTGGGACTACCAAGCATGGGAACAGATTGGGGGAAATTGCTAAGATGCTCTGACTATTACATTGCTTTCTAATTTATGTTGAGCATTTTAGTGGTGCCAAGATTGGACAAATTTTCTTCTTACTCTGAGCATGATCTGGTGGTCATATTCTAGGTGGAGTCTTTTCCCAAGTGTGTCTTGTATTTCTCTGCAGAGCATCTTCATTCCTTGTAGATCTTTTCCCAAATAATTTTCTGTTTCAAACAGTTTGAATATATTACTTTTCTAAGTGGTGACCTGGGTTACTTCCACCTTCTCCCTCTTCTGCTGGAATAGTTGTGTATCAGATGCTCTGTGATGCTGAGGGAATTATTTATTGGAGGTACATAATGATGTTGATCTTATCTCTATAGATAAGAACTTTCTCCTAAAGAAAATTCATTATGTCAGGAATTGGGACCACTTGGAAGTGCTTAAATGGCTTCCTGACCTGGTGACCCAAGAAAGAAGAAGAGATCTTGGAGGAGTCCTGGTTGAAGCTGGGCACTTCACTTGCAGATTTGCAGCATTTACACAAGCTCACCCCAAACTGTCCAGGGATGGCTGAAATTATGCTTTAAAGAAGAACAAGAAGAAAACAGGAGATACGTGTTAAATTTAGGGTTTGCTCTTGCAGATATGTAGAATCACGCAATCACAGAATGGTTTGGGCTGGAAGGGGCATTAAAGATTGGAAGGGACCTCATTCCAAACCTCTGCCATGGGCAGTGAAACTTTCCCAGGTTGCTCCAAACCCTTTCCAGCCTGGCCTTGGGCACTTCCAGGGATCCAGGGGCAGCCACAGCTCCTCTGGGCACCTGTGCCAGGCCTCAGCACCCTCACAGGGAAGAATTTCTTCCTAATACCTAGTGTAAATCTTCTCTCTGTCAGTTTGAACCATCCCCCATTGTCCTGTCACTAACTACCCTCCTAAAAAGCCTTGTACAAATGTGATTCAGAGTTTGGTAGTGGTCTGAATTTAGAAAATGAAAAGTGTGGAGCCACTGCCACACCTTAAGTATTTATTCTCCCCTATGAAGAAAGCAGAAGAGTGGTATTTACCCCATCCTGGCTTTATATGTTGTTTTTGCTCTTTTCTCTGTTATCTAGAAGAGAGATTTTGTGGGAAGAGAACTAATTTAAAGCCAGGTTAAAAAAGGAAAAAAAAAAAAGGGGGAAAGTCCAGATCTGCATCTTCAATTTGAAGAATGACAAATTTCAGTTTAAAGTCTCTGGTGACTAACCCCAAAAATTTTTAGAAACATTTTCACTTTGAAGCCAAAAGCCACTGCTTTGTCAAGGAGATGTGGGTTATTTTAACAAGGAAAGCTCAGACTTGCCCTGAGCATCAGCAGGGGAGGAGTTGCTGGCTCTAGCCCAGTTCTCAGGAGATGTTCAGTTTGGTGATTTCTTGTACAGAGAGTGGTTAATAGAACCTGCTCAAGGTGCCTTCAGCCTGCCAGCTGCAGATGTAATATGGGTGCACCAGGGCAGCATTAAATGTGGGAATTCTCTAATGAAGAGAGGCTCTGTGGCTGTTCCTGGGAATTTTTGGAATGTTTTTGTGCAGGTTTGGAGTTCTGCTTGCATTTGTGCATGTCCCCTCACCAAGGTGTCATTGCTGTGGCTCAGCACCAGCAGCATCCACACCTGTGTGGGGTTAGATGTGCCAGGATGTGACCAGATGGGAGCATGTTGAGATCCTGGGTCTGGTCTGTGGGGATCAGATGGGTGAGGGGCTGTGTGTCCCCATCAGTGTCACTGAGTGATCCTTGTCAGTTAAAGAATTGCTGCAGTAGCTTTGCTGATGCAAAGGAATTTGGGCTAAATTTTGAGGCTTTCTTAGTTTCACTTCTCTCCCTCTTCCTTGTATATGTGTTTGTTTACTCCATACGTTGGGGTGAGGGAACATTTTAAAGAGAAGTGCAGGAAATTTGCAGTCACATCATTGATTTCCTCCTGGAAATTTCCTTCCTCCTTTCCTTCAGAGGAGATGTGTTGGATGAGGTGACCTGTGACAGTCTCTTCCAGGGCTATTTTTTTTTTTTTTTTTTTTTTTTTTTTTTCAGATCCTATTTATAATCTTCTCAGTGTCTCAGAGTTCAGCACAGGACTGTTCACTCCTAGACAGGTTCTAGGGAAGTTGCATGACCTTGCAGGGAAACCACAAGACGGGAAGTGGGGACTTCAGGCGTCTCTGTGTCATGCAGTGCTTGGAGCAGCCCTGAGCAGCTGTGGCATCCCAGGGCTGTTGCTGTATCTCTGCATGTGCCAGCTTGGCACCAGCCTAAGTCCTTGGCATTGAGTCTTTTTATTCATATAAAAACACTCAATAATAATATTCAAAAAATTCAAAATTAATATAATAATTTTTATTATATTTTATTATGCAGTTCATTTCCATCTGCAGCCTCTCCTCAAGAGTCCAAGACTCTTGCTTATGACAGGTGCTTATGACACTTTTAAAGGTGTCTGTATCTTCAGTGCAACACAGTGGAAAAACCTTGCCCAAAAAGTATTAAAAATTGCTGTGTTTAAACATGACATCACAGTAAAAGTGATATTAAGAAAACTGCAGAACTTGGTGCAAAAAGCACCAGCTTGTTTGCTGCTCAAGTTTTATTCTTTTAGTTTTAAAAATTGTTTAAGTATTCTCAGTTGTGGTTATGAAATGTTGTGTGTGTCCATGTGTGATTGTGATGATAAAAACTCCAGGAAGGCTGATCTGTTCTGCTCAGTGCACATCCATACAGCTCAAAGGTTTAGGTCTTTAGTGCTTTGCTGGAGTGAGTGTGACTTTTGCTTCAGCAGAAAGGTCACCTGAGGTGTGGGAGATGGGAGAATGATCTTGTTTACAGTATTGACAGAGTGTGTGTGATTGCAGGCTGGGCTGGCAGAAGGCACAGCAGCTTGCTCAGGGCTTGTTTGAACAGCCATGGCATGGCCATTCAGTTCCTTGGGTTTTTTGGGGGCTGCTGAAGCAGAGAGAACTGTTAGAGCTGGTGGGGGCAGAGCAGAGCCTGTCCCATGGATGTCTCAGCCCTCCCATGCTGTGTTTTCCTCATTCCTCAGCAGTCAACACTTTCACTCGTCCTTATTGCTCTTAGCTTTCTCTTTGTATGCTGAGAGCTATTAAGGAAAAATTAATTCATGTTGAATTGCAGCACTTTATATTATAATAAGACACATCAGGCTTTCTAGCTCAGGTGTTGTTGTTTTTGAGAGGTGTCTGAGATAAAAAGTGCCCATGGTCTCCTTCTCCCTTTCCTGGCACTGCACCCGTTGTGCCCAGGGATCAGATTTAGGGTGCTCTGGGCACCTGGGGAATGTGGGATTGGACCTGCATCACATCTGGGATGTTGCAGCTGTTGCTGCAGCAACAGGATAGGAGTTCATGGGCTCTGGGCTGAGGCTTTGAGCAGTGGAAGTCGCTGGGCTGGGATGGAGAATGAGTTCTTTATGATCCCTCAAATAACCTTCAAATGTACCAGAGTCAGTCAGGGGAAATAACTTGCTAGTTACATTTCTTTGCTGGGTAAACATTTCTCTCCTTTCAAGTGTGCTCAAGAGAGAGGTACAGGTTGTGGGGAGAGGTAATATCTTTTATTAGACCTAATGACAGAGGTGGAAAAAGCCAGACTGCCTTTTAGGCACATAAGCCCTCCTTCAGAAGGAGCAAATTTTAAGCTTAGCAGGGAAACTGCTGGAATAATTGGCCCAAGTTTAATTCAATTATGTTAATCCATTAGAGGAAAAAGTGTTTGTGGAGCGAAGGGCAGAGTTAGTAAAAAAAGCTGTGAAAGTTTCTTGTGGGATGAGAAACCTGGTACCTTTGAAGTGGTGAGGAGTAGCAGAGCTACAGGCATGCAAAAATTTTCTTAAATGTGGTTAGTTTTGCTTTTTAAGATTCTAGCCCCCGCTTGCAGCTCTCCTAGGCTAACTTTAATTCACAAAAGCAAAGGAGAAACAAGGGGTTTGTCTCGAGCAGTGTTGGGTTTGTGGCTGGGCTCAAAGATCCAGTCACTGCCTGGATGTGAGGGGCAGCAGCTGCTTCTGAAACGTAAACTTTGAGGAATTTAGAGATTTTAGAGGAGCTAAAATTTTAGTTAGAAATGAGCCTTACTAGAGTTAATTAATATAATAATAATAAATGAGTAGGCCTTGATGAAGTTAGGAGTTAGTATTTAGCTAATAATTGATTGTTTGTCAGCACAGTGTTTAGTTAGCTGGGTTTGTAATGAAGAATACAAAACTGACAAAGAGCTTTTAGGAACATAAGACAATTGTGGGCCTCCTCTGTTCTGAAACCAATTGAAGACAAGGAATGGGAGTTCTACCAACAGTTTATTTGTCATATTTGCATTGAAAATGTAGAAAGGTCAGAACAAGGAAGACTTCATTTACATCCTCATTTTGGGACCCCTCCCCATGGAAGGGACACCGACCCATTTCAAGGGACAAACTACACATGCTTAATAGCTTTTGGAGTGATTAGCATACGAAGCGGGGAATGGGATGTACCAAAATTATGAATATGTATTTGTATTTTGGGTATTTAATACTTGTATAGATAAAAAGGCTCTGTAATCACCTGGAAGGTGCGGTGTGTATCTGGGAGCGATCCCACACACAATAAACACACACTTGCTAAATTTAAACTGTTAGAGAGTTTTTGTCTGTCACAGTTGGATATCGGTGCTAGATCAATATCCATATTTTTTAAATAAATTACTTCCCCAAACTCTGCCCTCTCCAGCAAATATTCCCCCACCAAATTCCACCTAATTCCAACCCAAACCCGTTAGCCAAGAAGGGGTGAGGGCTCTGGGGTGGCTGCACCTCCATGGGTTGTGCTGCTGAGCTGCGGGAGGTGAGGAGCTCAGAGGAGGAAGGAGAACGACTGTCAGGATGGCACATGGGCTGGACCTG